GATATAATCATAGAATATATCTGCTTTTAAAATATTAACATTTTGCAAATTGTAGTAGTTTCACAATTTGTAAACACACATACATATGCATGTAATTAATTAGCACCAGTTTACCTCTTAGTCTGTGAGCTCCATGAAGGCAAGGACTATGTCTGATTTGTTCACCATTGTATCTCTAGTTGCTGGTATGTAGTAGGTACTTAATAAACACTTGTGTGTCTATGGCCATACCATCCTGAAAATAACCGATCTCTTCTGGTCTCAGAAGCTAAGCAGGTCAGGCCTGGTTAATACTTGGATAGGAGACCACCAGGGAATACCAGGTTAAAAAAAAATCTGTGAATGAATATTCAAAGAGGTGCAATGTAATGACATTGCTATATATTTGTTTTTATCCTGTAAGAATGCCTGCTTTTTTACAATTTTTCTCTTATTAAAGATTCAGGTTATAAATTCAGATTTTGCTATTTTAAGAAATCACTAATGTGTATCTACAAAGAAATGTAATTAAAATATTCTATGTATTATTCAATAAAATATGCAATGATTTCCCAGTTTGTGAGATTGAAAATTTTAAATAATTGGGGAAATGGTCCCAATAAAGCAGAGTGAGGACAAAATCCACCTAACATAATTTTTTAAAGAAGCCACTTGGCTCTAAAACACTTTAAAATTTTTTCTGGGAATGAATTAGTCTTAATTGTTTTATGGTATTAGTACCAGGGTATGTAGTTCTAAGGAATTTGCACACTTGATACACTGCACCTTCCATCTGTCAAGATGACCAGTAGAAATGGCAGAACTAAGGGACTAACTAAAGTCTGAAGTTGGTGGACACATCCGTGATTAACCCTGTGGGGAATACAACTCACTCCTTGATACATTAGAATCTTTGGAACAGTGCTCCGTAGAAGGAAGCCTGAATTTCCCCAAGAACTCACCACCAAACTTCACAGAATCACTTTGGGCTTCTTCAACAAAAACCTGGTGACATGGAACCTCTTTAATAACACTAAAACACAGCTAAGCGATAATGTTTTCTTCCAGGAATAAGAATGTATTTGGTCGTGCACCAGTCAGAGACGGTGGAAGGAGTTGTTTCATAGTTTTTCAAACAAGACCAGCATTGTCAGAAGTTTGCTGTTTCCCCTGCCATTCCCTTATTCCCCTCTGCCCTCAAAAGATTTTTAAAGTTTTCAGGGCCATCATGTTGCCCAATTTTGCTACCAACTTGCCTTTTTCTTGATCTTTTGTTTCAATGTCTGCTTTCTTTTCCCCTGTGTGCTCACTGAAGCCTGATTGTGGGGTCAAGCTATAATTAGTTTATATATGAAGTTTAATTCACTATGGCTCTTTTGGCATTAGAGTCAAATGGGCTTTGATGTCTGGCTGGAGCTTTGATCCCAGACCCTCGAATGGTGGTCATCACCCCAACTCAAAGGATTGCCCTTTACTTTTTTCCTCCTCTTTGGAGACAGCTTTTCCCAATTACATCATTTGTGTTTGGCCATAAAAGCTGCAAAGCATCATTTTGTTGCTTTGCTCTATAGCAAAATGTGCAATTGATGCTCCTTACTTTGCTTGGCTGCAATGGAACGTTCACTGCTGGTCAGGCATTTGCAGAAGGATGCTTCCACTTTGGTCGGGGTGCTCTTAGGAGTTGTTCTGCCAAGGTCAAAGCGTCAGACTATGTGATCTGAAGGATCTTTCCTGGCTCTGCCCAGGAAATATCCTTAAGCATAACCTACACAACTGTAAATATATTCAACCAGGACTCTTTTTCAAGCTGGCAACTTTATCTTTCTCTCCAGATCCTCTGAGTAGCAGATCCACCCCATCTATAGTGCCACACTTTCGGAGTGTCAATTAGCAGTTTTTTTGAGAAGACAGAGACCACCAGGGAAGGCAAAAGAACTAACCAGAGATGAACAAACTAGAAAGGAGAAAATGAAGTAGCACTAGTGGAGGAAGAAGTACCAGCAATTGCTTTAAAAAGAAAGAAAAATAAAAATCAAAACAGTAGGGGAAGTGAGATTCTGTTGGCAACAGAAGGGAGCAGTGGGTGATTACTTTCAACTGCTTCCCAAATACCTGCAACCGAAACAAAGACTCAAAGAGGAAAGAAAATCCAGGGAACTAGACTGGAGAGAAAGAAATTTGGCTGTTAGCTTAAAAAGAGAATAGGAGCAATCTTGCCAGTTTCGTTTAATCTGATGACATTGGGAGTTTTCCTGGAAAAACAATTGCAGTGTTGAGCTCCTTGCTTCTAACTTCATTTGACAGCCCAAGTTTGTTTTAATTGGAGTGCGAATGAACAGAATGAACAGCATTATTTATTAATGTGTAATGGATACTTTGGAAAGCATAACCTTTTTTCCTATTTGTGACCATTTTATGGGCGGAACCATCTGAATACATTACTTTTAATATTTAAACTTGCTGGGAACACTTTTTCATGGAGATGTGCAAGCTGTTATGGCAAATGGTTTGTTTTGGACTAATGAGCCAGCTCAAAGTGGCATTTGGTGGGGAAGGGGATTGGGAAGGTGGGGAGGTTTGGGAGACAACAACTTGTCTGTCTGCCTTAACAAGATTTATTAGTAGTGTGTAAAAACATGCTTCAGCTTTTTTCCCTCCCTCAACTACATAAATATAGTTGTCGATGTGTGACATAACACAGGCCACAATAATGGACTCCACCTAGCCAGAAGGAATCTAATTCAGAACTGGAAAGAAAGAAATTTGTTTAGAAATTAGTAGAATGAAACAAAGACAGAGGACACGGGTGAGTGGCATTTGGCAGGCAGGATATGTCATTATTTTTTAGTGCCTTACTAAAATTAGGGAGGAAAATTAGTTCCCATATTATCAAGTAGTGTTTAGCACACAGTATGCATAAAGAATAGGTAACCTGAATAGAATTGATTTTGTATGCTTATGAGTACCTGAACCTAATTCAATTTTTAGATCTAATATACAATCTTGTTAATTATGAATCAAGGTTGTAGCTATATAGTTCCTTCCATGTCTGTGGGAGGTAGCAGTGGGGAGGAAGGGGGAAGGTGGCAAGGGAGCTCTTGCTTTTGTTTTTTTCTTTTTGGTAAATATCAACTTAATTCTATTTGTAGTAGAGATTAAATGGGTACTAGTAAGTTTAAAAGTTAGTTAAAAAGTATGTTAATGAAAAAACAGTTTACAGCCAATCTACATTCTCTTGAGTCTCTCTCCAGCAAATGTTTGCAAGGCTCTGTGCTGACTGCAATGATCCTAAGAGGGTATTAAAACAGTGCCTGCCTTCAGGTAGATTTCATAATTTAATTGGAGAAAAGAGATACACATACATACATAGATGCGTGTGTGCACACCCAGATAAATAAAAAGACAAGTAGCATGTGATAAGAATCAGATATTCATATAATTAAACGAAGTTCAAAGGAGGGAAGTGAGCGAATTGATCTTGGAAGGAAGGTTAGACCACACAGAGAGGGGAGAAAAGAGGGAGACTTCCTAGCAGGGGTAAGCAGCTGGGCAAAGGTGTAAGAGTCTGAAATAATGATGTAGGATGCACTCCTTCATATAACACTTTGCCTGAACGTCAGCAAATTGTGACTTGCTGGATTCAATTTTCGAGGCTCTAGTTAAAATATATATGGCACTTTCCATAGATAAGCCAGCTAGTAGCATTTTCAGATCCCTATCCCACTGAAACTCCCTGTGACCAGTGTCCCAGAGATGACCATACCACAAATGGTACTTCAAGGGGAAGACTTATTATATAAATTTCTCTGGAGAAAAAAAAAAAGCTACAGCTCATATAACACTTATCATCTATGTGCTAACCACGATATAAACGCACCCCCAAATATATATTATATGCTGGCTATTATAATTCTTGAACAGGTAGGTTCTGTTGGTTGCTCCATTTTACGGTTGGGGAAACAGAAGCACAAAGAGGAGAAGTAACTTGCCCACACAGCTGTTCATGGGTGGGACTGGGATTCAAATTCAGACAGTCTGATTTCAGAGTCAGAGCTCTTGTGAATGCAGACTATTAATAACAATAAAAAAACTCACACAAACCCCAAAGCGCGCAGGCGCACGCACGCAAACCCTGGGCTTGTAAAAGAATTGATGCAACCTCTTATTACACAGCGACGTCCTCTTGCATAATTTTAAATACCTTCTATAGTAAGACAGCCGTTAAAAAAAATTAAAACAACAACAAAACTTAAACAGTTTTAGAACAACATTGCATTGTGCTTTGTATCGTTGGCCTTTACAAAGTGGAGTGAAAAAACCAAACCCACAGAAATTGTCTTTGAATGCACTCGCAGTACCTTGCTCGGGAAGGTGAAAGAAATCTAAACCGGCGTGAGTGCATGCGAAGAGTGGACGTGTGGGGAAAGGGTTAAGATTGTGTGCTGCAACTTGGTCGAGTTTCAGAAAGTTCTCTGGGGAGCCCAACTGCTGCGTCCCTTCGCGGACCGACTGTAACAGGATGCTGGGGCTCGAGGCGCTTGCCCCTAGCTTTGGGCCATGGAAGAGAGCCAATGAAGAACGAAGAAAAAATCGGGCGCAGTAAGCCCGAGAAGGGGGCGAGGAGGCCCGCGGGGAGAGCGGGGGAGGGGAGGGGAGGGGCGGCGAGGAGGGGCCGGCGCTGAGCGCCGAGCGGCGCGCCTGACAGAAGAGGGGAAGACTGGGGGAGCGAGCCTCGGAGCGGAGGGGCCGGCGCGGGGAGGCGGGCGCCAGGCGGGGGTTCGCCGGGCCGCCGCGCGTGACGTAGCGCCGGGCAGGGCGTTATCAGCTGCGGGGCCGCGGCGAGGGACGCGCGGCGACAGCGGACGGCGCCGTCCGGGCCGGGACGCCTGTAGCTGGCGGCCGCGCGAGCGCTTCTGGCCGCCGCCCCCGCTTCGTGTCTAGCCGCGGGGCGGCATGAGCCCGCGGCCGCAGCCCTAGCGCCCCGCTCCTGCGTCCCGGAGGCCCGGCCGCGGTGACGGGTGCTCGCTGCCGGATTGGGGGCCATGAAGCCGAGTCCGGCCGGGACGGCGAGGGAGCTGGAGCCGCAGGCGACGGCCCGGGGCGAGCAGCGCGCGGCGGAGCCCGAGGGGCGCTGGCGGGAGAAGGGCGAGGCGGACACGGAGCGGCAGCGCACCCGGGAGCGGCAGGAGGCCACGCTGGCTGGGTTGGCGGAGCTGGAGTACCTGCGCCAGCGCCAGGAACTGCTGGTCCGGGGCGCCCTGCGCGGCGCCGGGGGTGCGGGGGCCGCCTTGCCCCGCGCCGGGGAGCTGCCGGGGGAGGCGGCGCAGCGCAGCCGCCTGGAGGAGAAGTTCTTGGAAGAGAATATCTTGCTGCTGCGAAAGCAGTTGGTAGGTCGTGCCCGCAGGTGGGGCACGCTGTCCCTGCTGCGGGGCTGGAGGTCGGGCAGGTGGGCTGGGGTGGGCGCGAGGTTACCTCTGGCTGGGGAGAGTCTCGCCGTTTTGGAACCCCTTCCCTCGCCCCTACCCTCCGACCCCCTGACTGTGTGCCCGCGGCGCGTGGGCTGCCGACGCCCACGCGTTTCTGGCGTGTGCCCGCTTTGTGTCTGGTGAGGGGCTGGCGACCTCGCGCGGATTGCGGGCAGCGGGTGGCTGCTCTTCCCACCTCTGCATTCGGATTCTTGGAGTCGCCTGATTCTAACCTTCAGTCTTTCTAAACGAGTACATGCCCTCTCCCCAGAGGTTTGCAAACCTCTACTTAAAATACTGTTTCAGTTGGAGACCTTGGCTTCATCTCCTCCCGTCCAGAGGGGACAAAAGCCAAGGAGGGGGCTTGTGGCGTGGTTAACCGTCCAACGCTGAGTTTTACGATTACTCTGAAGCGCCGTAGGGGGCCGTGCCTCTCCCAGGGCTCTCCCCAGAATGCCAGCTTTCACCAGGCTGGTGCTTGATTTCAAATAGAAGCCCTTTGTATAAGGCAGCTAGACTAGATGCAAATGATGGAAATTTGGCTGGAGAACGTGCCTCCTCCTCTCATATTTTATACGTTCTGCCAGCTGTGATTGGTGGTGGAGGTGGGAGAAGAGGTAACCTGCTTTCAGGGAACATTTATCTTATTGGATTTCTGTCAGTGTCTCAGTCATTCTATGCAGTCTTCATTAATGAAGGGGAAAAAGAACTTTGGAGCTTAATGTATTGATGAACAGCTTTTGACCCCGCCTCAAAATAATGGCGGCAGCTTTGTTTCAGTGACCTCAAAATGTAGTTTTGCAAACAGCAAAGGTCCTTACCTGGCCATGTGATAGTATTTAAACTAGGCACATGCTAGATAATGGCCCTTTTACAATAAAGTGGTGATGCTATGTGGTTGTCATATATTTTCTTGTATTATCTATTTTCAGATCATTTTTTTCTCTTTTTCTGTTTTTTTAGAGCATCGAAGTGCTTTTACTTGATAGGTTCGTTTTTCCTGAAAAAAACTCATTCTAGCAAACAAGCATATGGTTTATGTCTCCAAGCTTTTTAAGTCAAAGGACAGACAGAGAAGTATATATTCATACGCATCTGATTTGTAAGGATGTCCCATGTGGTCTGTGTAATACCTCTGTTTTGGCATTTTACTGTGTTTTTTTGGTAACAGACCAGATTTGTATGTACCATTGATTTGAGCCAAGTCTCACTGGTTCTGCCTGGTGATTTACGTTTTATGCATTGTCTTATGCAATACCACCTTTTTGTCTTCACAAATTTCAAGATTGTGAGTGGCGGTTCCTATTGTCCACTTGAGGGGGAGCAAGGCAGAATGTCAGGAGAATTCCAGTCCATTCAGTGTTTATGGTATTATTTTCATTTGTAGACTTGGCATTCATGATTTGAACCAGATGCCTTTTGAGTTCCTTTTGCTTTTCCAGCAATAGGAAGCACTAGGTGGCGGTGTGAGTTAGCACAACCGATCTGTCACCTTTGGAAACCAGCTGAGTTCAAATCTTGATGGGCCTTCCCTTGAGGGTTTTGGATTCTGCCAGCTCACATTATACTTGGCACTGGCTATTAGTATTAGTTTCTCACTTTCAAAGGCCCTAAGACTGATTAAACCCCACAAAGCAACTAATAGAAAACAAAACTCTGCAGACCAAGACATTTGGCCAGAAAAATCTCACCTAAGTAAGCTTATAGTGTATTGTAGGAAATCTGTTACCCTGACTTCAAATTAAAGAGTATACTGTGAAGTATTGTTTTTTAAAAAACTGGCTGTATACCAGATGATTTAAATACTCAGTGCATTTTTCTTTTCCCCACCTATAAAAAGTCACAGTTGGTATATGTTAGTTGAAATTAAAAACATGTCTTGTTTTTATGAAGAAACTATATCACCACAAAATGTGAGACAGTAGAATTAAACATAGGACATATCCTTGAATTCTTAAAGTTTTTCTTTATTTCAGGTCATCCAGTACAATTTTGGTTTTGGAAGGTTTAGTGAACTCTTCAGATGGGTAATTTGAATCCTTAGAGCAGACTTTCTGGTTCTTTGTCACCAAAGTGTAGTCATTTTTCCTTTCTCTGTTTGTTCTTAATCAGAATTGTTTGAGGAGAAGAGATGCTGGTTTGTTGAATCAGTTGCAAGAACTCGACAAGCAGATAAGTGACCTGAGACTGGATGTGGAAAAGACATCTGAAGAGCACCTGGAGACAGACAGCCGGCCTAGCTCAGGTGAGTGTTTGAGCAGAAGTACAGAATTCTGCACGCATGAGTTATACCTTGGCCCCCTGTGGCCCCCCCAGACCTGCAAATGGCAATTGAGTTTGTTTCCAGTGCAGAGAGAATTTTAAAAAGCAGTCTGCCATTCAGTTGCATGAGGAGGAAATAAAGTCAGATGACAAAATTTTTAATAATGAGATTGATATGACTAGAGTCCCTGAGTTTAAAAATAAAAGCTATTCAAATTTCTGGAAGAGTGGTCCTCCTTTGAAACTTGAGTATCAGAACTGAGCTAGAAAATTAGTCACACTTCAACTTCCTGAGATCACTTCAAAAGTTTTTTTTTTTCTTTTAAACCATTTGGCTCCTTAAATAGATCTGTTTTTCTCTTAAAGTTATTCCTTTTGAAATATTCATAATAAAGTTGAGGTCTTGATGATCTAAGTTTCTTTCCTTGCACATCTTTAAAGGTAGGGTCAAGGAAGAAGGTCAGTGTGAGGGTGAGAGTAACTTTGAAATGTACCCATGTGCCTTTTCCTAGGAATTATTTGAAATAAGACCATGAAATCAGAACACTAAAATCCAGTGAACCAAAGTTGACCAAAAAAAAAAAAAAAAACCCAAAACCAAAACAACAAACTTCCGTTTCCTAGATGATCACCCCTTTTCCTTTTAGGCATGAATGTGTATTATTCCTTGACATGATAATTCAAACAGTGTTTTTATTTGTAGGGTTTTATGAGCTGAGTGATGGGGCTTCAGGATCCCTTTCCAATTCCTCTAACTCGGTGTTCAGTGAGTGTTTATCCAGTTGTCATTCCAGCACCTGCTTTTGCAGCCCTTTGGAGGCAACCTTGACCCTCTCAGATGGTTGCCCCAAATCTGCAGGTAAGTTTTTAGCATTGATAGAAATTTTTAATGGGAAGAGGTCAAGGCCCTTAAAGGTTGTCTAGCCCCAACATCTTTTACTGATGGAAAAATAAAAGTTCATCAATTTACTGTATTTAGTGTCGTACTTACACCTAGAACCCATAGTTTCATCTAGGTGAATATCTATTAATAGAACTATTCCAGTACTCTTTGGATGTTACTTGGCTTTATATTCTGATAGTAGCAAGATAGATAATTTACTTTTAGGAATCCTGTCCCAATATTATAGGTCTTGAGCTCTGTTTCTAAGTCTTTGCTGTGAGTTTAACTTGTCTACATTTTCTTTTGAAAGCCATTCTAGAACTGTTTTCTTTTTCCTTTGATCATTTAAAGCTAACGCTCACATTAAGTTAAATATGTCTGTCAGCCTGGCCAAGAACTGCTTGACAGCTCAGGGAGCAGTGGCCCCTCCATATTATCCAGAATGCCCTGCATGATAGCGACTCACTTTTCTTTTAGCAGGTGGGTGGGATGAGATCCTCATAGCTCATATGCTGTTATTCCTTGGGCTATCCTTGCAATGACCTCCAGGCAGAATCATGTTATTGTTGGTGCTGGAAGAGTTCTTGCCTTTCTACTATGTGTCACACACTGGACTGAATGCTCTGCATGCATGTATCTCTTTTAAATCCTCCCAACAATTCTGCAGAATGCAGGTGTTGTTACCTTCACTTTATGTATCAAAAAAATGAGATCTAGTGAGGGTTGATAAGTTATTTAAGGCTCTATAGCTAGTGAGTAAGCAGAGGCAGGATGCAAACTCAGGCCCAACTGCCAGGTCCATGTTTTTCTACCACTCCAGAGGAATTCAGAAATTGTTTTCAACCTTCTCATCTAAAAGAGGAGGAATTTTGGTTTATAAGCTGTTTGTAAGAGGCTCCCCATCTGCTGAATGACAGAGTTGTTGCTGGAACTCAGGACACTTTAGTCTTGATTCCTTGGAAAAGCAGAGAAAATGTCGAGATTAGAGTTGCTGTAGGTGCTGGCACAAGTCATTACACTCCTGGTTTGTCTGTTCTCCACTTGAATATAAGGCTAAATTTTTGAGTTCAGGCAAGGCAAACATAGCACCCAAGCAGCTGAGGTGGCTAATTGGCTGGTGTCCGTGTATTTGTAGTGTGTGTTGTCAGCAGCAATCAATGTGTGTCAGCAGCACAGAACTCTGTGTATCTATAGTGTCTGGGCCTTAAGTTCATTGGTAATTGCTCCCTTTCACTCTGCAGATCTGGTTTCAGAGGGAAACTTTATAAACCCATTAAAGTCACTTTGGTACGGGTTTTCCTTGAAGACAGACCCTTATTCTCCCAAATGCCATGTCCTTACATAATTGAAACAGTTACATTGGGCCTTGGGGCTGGGATATGTTTTGCTTAACTCTAAACAGGGAAAAGAGAAGATTGGTGAAGTGTATGTAAATGTGGCTTTAAGTAAGGCAAAAATGGGGCTTAGGGTGGTGGGAGAGGAGGGATGGAGAAGGATGTTAACCAGAGAGGTTTCCTCTTGTTAGAACAAGCTGTTTATTGGGGGTTCAGTGGGTGGCAACATGGCATTTTTATTATAATCTTTTCTTTACAAATGAATCATATCATCTCTGAGTCTAGACTGTTTTTCCCCTGAGACTGCTAATTATCTTTGAAGTTCATGGAGCTTTCTCTTAAATTAAACCATGATCAGAATCTGGCACATAGTAGGTTTTCAATATTTGAATAAATAAATATAATTATAATGGAGGACAAATTAGTGATAAGCTCAACTTTAATTTTCTCTGATAACTGAAGGTCATTAAAAGGATTTGATATTTGTAATATTCACCAAGATAAGAGATCAAAATAATTTAATTAAGAAAGCAAGCTTGATTTCATTGTATTTTGGCATCTACATTTTTGAGATGTGGGAAACTTATCCATTAATACTACTACTCAATCTTTTAAAATCTTATCAAGAATTCCTTATCCTGTTAAAAATAATACTTTTATTTTTTAGTGTCACTATTGAAAATATAAGGTGATTATTATTTAAATTTGATTAGTGTTTGTTGAAACTTGATCAGAATCCTTGACCTTTCAATTGACAGTTATATTTGAATGGATGTCATTGATAATTATGTTTAAAAGAAATACAAAATGAGGAGAAAGTCCACAGAAAGTATAGTTTAACCTAAGTATTTTAGGAAAACCAGGAATAGAACACAGACGGAAGAGTGGCCTAGAGAAACGATGACTTAAACAGCATTTATTTTTTCCAGTTATAATTGTAGTACAGTTATTGCTGAAAATTTAGAAAATGGAAAATAAAGAAGGTAAATGTAACTTGCTTTCTCATCACACCGAGATGCTATTATTAGAATTTTGGTGTGCTTCATCATAGATCTTTTTTTTTGCATACACATAATCCTAATACAATTATGATCATATTGTAGTATTATATCATGATTTTCACTAAACTTTAAAGTGGTTTTCCTATATTATTCAATACTTTGAAGGCATTCTTAATGGTTGAATATTTTTCCTTTAGAGGATATATATCTTATAAAAAATTTTGGTTAAATATTTTTCCCTCATCTAGTAGTAGGAAATGGAATGTCAAATGGTAGAGTAGCTAGTGGAATGTTTTTAAATCCTTTGGCATTCTCTCTCAGCCATGAATTTGTCTTCATAAAAATTGCCACAGAGGCAGGGTGCAGGGTTCATGCCTGTAATCCTAGCACTTTGGGAGGCCAAGGTAGGAAGATTGCTTGAGGTCAGTTGGAAACCAGCCTGAGCAATAGCAAGACCCCCATCTCTACAAAAAATAAAAAAAATTAGCCAGGCGTGTAGGTGTTTGCCTGTAGTCCCAGCTACTAGGGAGGTTGAGGCAGGAGGATCTCTTGAGCCCAGGGGTTCAAGGCTGCAGTGAGCTATGACCATGCCACTGCACTCTGGCCTGGGCAACAGAGTGAGACCCTGTCTAAAAAAAAAAAAAAAAAAATTTGGCCAAAGAGTCAAGCTGGTGCTGACCAATTCGCTTCTTCAGAATGTACCTTTCAATGTTTTTCAGATTTCATAGGATGGTTGGCATATAAAGAAGGCCACTGTGAAGACCAGGCCTCAGGGGCAGTTTGTCGTTCCTTCTCCACACCACAATTTAATTCCCTTGATGTCATTACAGATGTGAATCCCAAGTACCAGTGTGATCTGGTGTCTAAAAACGGGAATGATGTATATCGCTATCCCAGTCCACTTCATGCCGTGGCCGTGCAGAGCCCAATGTTTCTCCTTTGTCTGACGGGCAACCCTCTGCGGGAAGAGGAGACGCTTGGAAATCATGCCAGTGAGGCGTGCGGTGGATCTGAGCTAGTTACCATTAAAACAGACCGTTCCTTACCATCTCCAAGCAGCCTATGGTCTGCCTCGCATCCTTCATCCTGCAAGAAAATGGATGGCTACATTCTGAGCCTGGTCCAGAAAAAAACACACCCTGTAAGGACCAACAAACCAAGAACCAGTGTGAATGCGGACCCCACGAAAGGGCTTCTGAGGAATGGGAGCGTTTGTGTCAGAGCCACTGGTGGCGTCTCACAGGGTAATAACACGAACCTTAAGAATTCGAAACAGGCGTGTCTGCCCTCCAGCGGAATACCCTCTTTGGACAATGGGACATTCTCCCCACCGAAGCAGTGGTCAAAAGAGTCAAAGTCAGAACAAGCAGAAGGCAAGAGATTGCCCCCATCAGAGAGCTGCTTGCCAGCTGCTGCCTCCGAACTTCAAAGTAAGCATCTGCCAAAAAATGCCAAGCCAGCCTCCCAAGAACATGCTCGGTGTCCCACTGCTGGGACAGGGGAGCCCCTTAAAGAAAGCACTCAGCTCTCAGCCGCGTCTCCAAAAGAGAGCCCTGGCAGAGGCCCCAATGCCCCACCAGAGACTAAAGTGGCCCAGCCTCTGAAAAAGATGTCACAGAAAAACAGCCTGCAGGGTGTCCCTCCGGCCACTGCACCTCCTCCACTGCTCTTCCCGGTGGAAGACAGGCCTGCCTTGGATTTCAAAAGTGAGGGCTCTTCCTCCCAAAGCCTGGAGGAAGGGCACCTGGTCAAAGCTCAGTTCATTCCTGGGCAGCAGCCGGGCGTCAGGCCCCACCGCAGCCACAGAAACGTGGGCGCTGCGAAAAGTTCCACCCTGAAGCATCGCGGCCAGGCCCTCCAGGGGCTGGAGAACGCTTTGCCCACCGTCAGGGAGAAAACGCGGGCAGGGAGCAAGAAGTGCCGCTTCCCCGAGGACTTGGATACAAATAAGAAACCCAAGAAGGCCGTCTCCAAGGGGCGGAAGAGCGGGGGCGGGCCCGAGGGGGGCATTCTGGGCAGGCCCCTGGGCGGGGGCCCACGGGCAGGAACCCGGGCGCACGGCCACGGACGGGAGGCGGTGGTGGCCAAACCTAAGCACAAGCGAACCGACTACCGGCGGTGGAAGTCCTCCGCCGAGATTTCCTATGAAGAGGCCCTGAGGAGGGCCCGGCGGGGGCGCCGGGAGAACGTGGGCTACCCGGCGCCCGTGCCGCTGCCCTACGCCAGCCCCTACGCCTACGTGGCGAGCGACTCCGAGTACTCCGCCGAGTGCGAGTCCCTCTTCCACTCCACCGTGGTGGACACCAGCGAGGACGAGCGGAGCAACTACACCACCAACTGCTTTGGCGACAGCGAGTCCAGCGTGAGCGAGGGTGAGTTTGTGGGGGAGAGCACGACCACCAGCGACTCTGAAGAAAGCGGGGGCTTAATTTGGTCCCAGTTCGTCCAGACTCTCCCAATTCAGACGGTGACGGGTCCAGGTCTTCGCAACAACCCCACAAAAGCCTTTGTTAAAATTAAAGCTTCGCATAACCTCAAGAAGAAAATCCTCCGCTTTCGGTCCGGCTCTCTGAAACTGATGACTACGGTTTGAGTAACGTCACTGGTGTAGAAAAGTGTCTTTTTCCCCCCGCTAGTTGCCGAAATAAAAAAGGCGACATCTTCATTTTTGTGTAATAATTTCATGGAATGCTTTTCTTTTAAGACAAAACCAAGGTAAATTATTTGTCCCGTTTTCATCATGTATAGACACTAGTGCCTTTAATGGAAGGTAAAGAATGTTTTCTAGTTAGAAGTAAGTATTAAGGTTTTAATGGTGGTGATAGTGAATGAGTTTTGCAGTATTGGCTGTTTCAAGGTACAGGTTTTGATGTTGAAGTTTTATTGGGATGAGACTTTTTGAACCCAGGGTCAGGTGGATAGAATTTTAGGACATACATTTGCTTCTTGATTCTTCAGGGCAGTGTCTCCACGAGGGTTTTCCTGTTGAGGGGCATCACATACAATTGTGAGAAGTAGGTACGAGGGGCAGTCATTGTTTTCCATGATTTTTTATGTAGTCTGTTTTTCTCAGATGTACTCCCATTCTGTTGTCTTCTCAGAACCGGTCTGTTTGCTGGACTCATTACCAGACCTTAAATTCAGAGATGATAATCTGGATAGGGAGGCTGGTGGTACCTTGAAAGGATTCATGAAAATTTTTGCTCACTTGGTGCCTAGGCCCTGGACATAGCAACCTTTTCCAGGGCCATTTATGGAACATTTTGATGTCTTCCTCCCACCCCCCTAATTTGTAGCCAATCCAACCTTTCATTCCTTACAGGATTTGCCTTTAGGATAAAATTTTGGTCCTCGGGTACAGAGAAGTGCACTCGTAATGAAATAACCCTTGGGCATGATTCCAAGCCCACAATTGCTCACTGAGCAGTGTGCCACTGTCACATTGGCCTGAATATATTAGTGCAATCCAGTCCAGATTGGACCACTGACCCTATCTGGAAGGGCTTTATTTTTAAAAAAAAATTTTTTTGGGTAAACAGTATTGTGTAAAATTGCTTTTTTTAATACCAGTATATGCATGTTTTGTGCATGAGTAGTATTCGTTTTGATATCCCTGTTGATGTTAAATTACTGTATAATATAAACAGTATGTGTTTTTATATATCATTGTGTAAATTTAATATAACACATTATATGCGGTAATAAACGATTTGTTTTATTGCTGTTAAGTTTGTTATTTGGGTATAAAACCAGATGTTTACACCTATAAATCTTGTGCTGATTATTGGTGTTATTTGTGAGATTTACATTAGATTTATTCTAGCAGTAGAAGATTTGCAACAATTAAGCCAGGTTTTAATATTCTTGGAATGGATGATGAGTAAACAAATGAGGAAAAGCAAACAACTTCTTTAGAATAGTAAGGTACTTTAAAATTTAGGGTAAATTTTATAGGTGTCTTCTGAGGAAAACATTTCTGAGAAGAATTCCCTCCCCCAACATTTTATTAGAAAAAATTTCAAACATATGGAAAAGTTGAAAGGATAGTATAATAAACACCTGTGTAGTACTGCTTAGATTCAACAGTGGCTAACATTTTGCCACACTTACTTTAACTCTGTATGTGTTTGTATTAGGTTTAACCGAATAACCGGTTTTGTAGGTCAAAGACAGATATTGGCCATCTCTCCCCACCATACACTGATACACTATTTTAAAGTAAATTTCAGGTATCATGATATTTTATCTCTAAAAAGCATGCATTACCTAAGAACAAGGAGATTCTCCTGTATAACCACAATATCATAATCACAACTAAGGAAAATCAACAGTAATTCATAATATCAAATATTTAATCTATGTTTAAGCTTTCCCAATTTGTTTCAAGAAGTTTTTAATAGCAGCTTTCCATCCACCTCCTCCCCAAACCAGGATTTAGTCAATGTTATTCATTGCATTTGATTGTAGGTTGTAGGTCTCTACAATATAGTCTCCCCACATTAAAAAAAAAATGATATTGGCTTTTTAAAGATTCAAGGCAGTTCTCTTGTAGAAGGGCGCACATTCTGGATTCAGTGGTTTCCTTATGTTGTCTTTTAACATCTAGCCCCTCTATTTCTTGTAAACTGTGTGAAACTTGATTGAATTCAGGTTAAACGTTCTTAATCAAGAAGCTTTCATTAGTGATGTGTACTTTTATTGTTTCAAATCAAGAAACAATACCAGGTTGCCCCACTCTTACTGAATTCAAGACTGATCCCTTGATTAAGTTGGTGAGCATAGATTTCTTCATTAAAAGTGCAAAGTGTTTAATATTTGTGGGTGACTCTGGTACTATGTGGATATCCTACTCTCAACAAATTCCACTTAATGGCTTTAGCTTACATTGCTGATCTTTGTCTGAATCAGCTATTGCCTTGTGGATGCAAAATGGTAGTTTTCTAAATACCTTTCCTTCTACTTTTGTTAGCTGACATTCTCAAAAAAAGCTTTCCTTATTTTTTCCCCTTTCTTTTTGAATATCACTATAGATTCATGGATTTTTGTTTATTTGATATAATCATTTACGGTCTTTGTCCTTCTTGATGCTCAGTAAGTCCCAAATTTTACCAATGGGCAGATAAATTTTGTTAAAAGGAAACTATAGAATCAGTTTCCTAATTCAGATATTTATTATGAAGTGTATCCATTAAAATTAATTTATCAAATAGCAAATTTCAGATGCTAAGTTTTAATGCAACAAAAGTCCCTTACTATCTATATTTTTATTCTGTCTTGGAAATATTCTTTTTTACTACATATACCTCTTGTTTCTAGCAAGCCTTTTATCTTTGGAACATTGCAAATTATTTCTCTATAGCTTATAAAGGTCACATCTTTTAGCAAGTCATCTTTTTTTTGCAAGACATTTTTCACAAGACAGATAATTCTTCAAAATGTAGAGTTGCTAGTCTTTTAGTATTCATATGTTTCTATATGCAACTAGTCATTCTGCCTTGACTAGAATTTTTTTTGGTTGCTTGTTTAAATCTAAGCCAACCACAAGTGAGGGGATGATCTGACCATCTTTTCTAATGCTGTGATCTGGTCTCTTTGGGGCATGGCTATCAAGTTTATTATGTAAGGCAACTGTGACCAGCAGTCAGTTCTTGAATTATTTCCAAGTTGCTCTCAATGAACATTATTCTAAGGGGACGCTGCCTGAAAACCACCTTCTGAGTAATTACATTTCAGGTGACAGAACGCCAAACTAAGAGAAGCGTGAAAAACAGGATTTTCAAACAACCCTGGGTTTCCTCTCCTAGTAGTTCATTGCTTGACTTCCTTGTAGCTAGCAGTTGTACTGCACTTGGAAAATTGCATTTTGTCCTTTATTTTCAGTGACAAAATAGCTGCTATTGTTACAAACAAAAGAGCTCTTTAAAATATTTTCCTTTATTTAAAAAAATTACAAATATTCATTGTCAAAAGGAAAAATATATCTGAATAATACTCAAATTTTAAAAACTCTTCTTCCCCAATCCTCCCCGAATCCTGCTCTTCAATAGATTTGGTGTACATAATTCCATACTCTCGTATGCACATACAAATATATAGCCTTTGTACTTCAAAACAAAGTCTCAAACTGTATGTGTTACTCTATTACTGGCCTCCTTCATTTCTGGACTTGTATGGCAGATATCATTCCCAATTCTTTTAATGGGGTTCCAAGTATTTCCTCACTGAGGAAGAAGCACCAGATTTTATGGGCTGCTTGAATTTGCCCTGCTTAGAAAAGTTCTAATACTTAACAACAAAGCGCTACTCAAGTGTTAGCACACAAATTTGCACACATATTTGCTTTGTAGTTTTCTCATATTTTGTTATTTTGCATTGTGAGCTCACTTTCAGTGGGGTATTATCAAAGGAATCTGTTGAGGCTTGGTTAATGATTTTGCCATACAGAGAAATTTTGTATTTTTTCTGCCAGGTGCCTCAGGAATATTTCCAGGGTGGACCACTTTTTAAGTTAATTCATCTACTTTCGGGGTCCCTGACTACAGAGATAGTATAAATTCAAATCCTGAAACCATGAAGATAGGCTGTGGTTATATGTTCCTAAAGGAAGCCCTTTCCCAAGGCAGACAAACTTCCTTGTTTTCATCCTGGGCCAGCAAGTGAATTCTTTTCCTGGTCCAACCTTTTACTAAGGATGTAGCCCTTCAGTGATCTCAGGACTATAGGGCAGTTTCAGTCTCCTATTCTAACCTGTAAGGGCCAAGTTTTGTTCCTGAGCGATTGTCAAAACCAAAGCTCCTTGCTTAAGGGGCCAGCAACATCTCTCTCTACTCTCAAAGGGTAGCCCAGGCTATACACTTAAAAGAATGTTTGTTAATAGTTTATTCATCATTTCTAAATGTTTTCAGTGAGAACATCAGGTTTTCTAGTCCCCTATATGGCTGGAAACCATAGAGCCACCCGCTGCTTTTGTCAGTAAATTGGATCTTCCCCCCACCTTGGGTACAACTTTATTGAGGTAAAATTGAAGTACAATAAAATGCACATATTTGAATTGTATAATTTGATCAATTCTGACATATGTACACACCTATGTGACCATAATCAATATAACAAACATTTTCATCATTCTCAATAATTTCCTTGAGATCCTTTGTAATCCATCTCTTCTTCTATCCCATTTCCTAGGCAACCACTGATCTGCTTTCTGTCACTATAGATTACTTTGTAGAATTCTGTATAAATGGAATTAAACAGTGTGCTCACTTTTTTGACTGAATTTTTCATTCAGCATAATGATTTTTAGGTCCATCCATGTTGTTTTCTTTTTTTCCTTTTTCTTTTTTTGCGTGTCAGCCTTGCACAGGGGCCATGCTAATCTTCTCTGTATCGTTCCAATTTTAGTATATGTGCTGCCGAAGTGAGCACCATCCATGTTGTTTTATATATCTATAGTTCATTCCTTTGTATTGCTGAGTTATGCTCTTTTCTACAGATATACAACAATTAGTTTATCCATTTACTTGTTGATGGACTTTTGGGTTATTTCCAGTTTAGGATTATTAAAAGTTAAGCTGCAATGAACATTCATGCCCAGGTATTTGTGTGGTCAGGTGGCGCTGTCTTTCTTGGGTAAATACTTAGGAGTGGAATGCCTGGGTCTTAACATGAGTGTATGTTTAACCTTTTGAGAAATTGCAACAATGTTTTCTAAACTGGTTGTATCATTTTATATTCCCATCAGCAGCATGTAAGAGCTTCGGTTGCTCCACGTTCCTGCCAGCACCTGGCATGCTCAGTCTTTTTCATTTTAGCCAATCTAATTGATGTG